TGGGTAGCTCTGACGTAGAAATGTTTGGGCTACAAAATAGTACGAAGACGTCAACGGAAAAACAACGGTTACTACTTGAGATATGGAGAAAACTAACACGTACACATAGTTTTTTTAATATTCTGTAACATATTCAGTATTTAACGGCCAAAAACATGCTATTCCGAGAAAAATTAATATGATATTCCTCGTCGTAGCATAAAGTCTCGTAATCATTAACATCCTGTTAAAGATTAAGCAGCAACTTTTTTTGGTGCCAAGGAAGAAATTAAAAGTATAACTTGGAAATCACAAGAAACACATGAAATTTGAAATTTTTTTCATAAGAGCATGGGGTAGTGTGATGATTTTATCAACTACCTAGTAAGTATCAATAGCTCATGAATTTTTTTACCTTTTGCTATAGCACTCCCTACTATATTTGAAACAAAATTTGTGCATAGCTGTCAGTTCATATATTTGAACCGATCGTTGTAAACCAAGTCATATTTATGTACTTGTTAGAACTCTTCAATTTAAGATGAAGAATTAATCAATACACAGACAAAGTAATCGGTAGAAACAAAATAATATTCTTCTTTTCAACAGTATTGTCTATATTACTAAAAGGCTAAATAAATTTTTCAGGACTATTCTAACACATTCTCAGTCATAGAATAATATGAAAAATGAATCCTTCGATTCTCCTCTTTTTGTATACAATAAAATCTGCAAGTTTTTTTCTAAGCACTTAGATTCAAGAAACGATAGATAGACCCTTTAGATCTATGAAAAAATGAGTGGTCACTTTCATAACTTTTTCAAAACACGATCAAAGTCATAGATCCTACGCATATGAGTTTCGCTGTTCTCCGTAGCAGCTGCAAATTGTTTAAAAAGTTGATATGAACTCATTAATCAAAATGGATCCTAGTGGATTCTATGGATCCTGATGGATTCTGTGGATCCTGATGGAATCTACGGCTCCTGATGCACTGTAGAATCCATCAGGAGCCACCAAGAGCCGCTTTTTTCCTTTGACTCTGGAGGGTACCAGGGCTTAGTTTATGCAAGACAACAAAAGTTTAAAAAAAACACTTGTAATATATGTGTGCACTCAGTTTTCCATGCTGCTTCGCAATATCATATTAGTTTTTCTCGGAATAACATGTTTTTGACCGTTAAATACTGAATATGTTACAGAAATATAAAAAACCAATGTGTACGTGTTAGTTTTATCCATATCTCAAGTAGTAACCGCTGTTTTTCCGTTGATGTCTTCGTACCATTTTGTAGCCCAAACATTTCTACGCCAGAGCTACCCAACGTATTTTTTTCTAGAACTTTGTCTTTAGTTGGGATGCTCAATGGGAGACAGGCGGGGTACATCAGAAAAGCAAACTTTTTTTGTTGTAAATACATTAATTAGTCTAAAAAGTTATCGGTGGTATGAAATAATGCTTTTTTTGTAGGACCATGTAGAGAAAAGCGAGACGAACAACTTTTCTTAAGGGTCCAGCCATCGATTTTGCTTTTTAGAAACGGTAGACGTTTCAAAAGTGACCACCAGCAAAAATAGCTGGAGTGATCCGAATTACCCCACGTGAAATTGCTTGACTGATCCGAATTACACCAGATAGATTTTCAATTGACTGATAGAGGTGTCCTTGTCGTGAGTATTGTATTACAGCTGTCGGTTCGACTGTCGAGATGTTTTCGGGTCTCATAGAGGACACGTAGAGCTATCAAATGGTATATTTGCTTTTCAGAAGTTTGAATAAAAAAAATAAGTTAGCAGATGGGAAAAATGAGACCAGCCATTTTTGCTGTAGTGATCCGAATTACCCCACCTAGATTCATAGAGTGATCTGAATTATCCCATGTGGGGTAACTCGGATCAGCTCCACACTACTTTTACCATTTTGACTGATGCTTTTTACCGGTATAATATTTTTCAATAATTCTTTCGTGATTCGACACAGGACACTTTGAACTAGTAGTGATAAAAACTCATCATTGTGCAATGCAAGATGACTGAAAAAGAACAAAAACAAAATGAATTTTCTAAATTTTGTTCCGAATTACCCCAGAGGACTCTATATGTGCCATTATCGATACGGTACAAATTATGTCCAGTTGGGTGCAGGGTAATAGTAATGAAAGATCCAAATGAAAGAAAAACATTGACAAGTCAGTTGAAAACCTTCAAAAATGGAAAAAGCAATTGGATTCGAACTGAAGCAATGAATCCACTGCTTCCATATCTTCTCCCCACCAAATTAAAACTAACAACACCATCGATAACAACAGTAACGGGGAAGTAGAAATAAATAACGATTTTTCAATGAACTCTCTAGGCCAAGATGTTTGACTTCTCTTCTCTTCTTAATGTTCATGCTCGTCCCTTTTCACCTACTTCTACCTACAACCTTTCCCCATTGACAAAACCATCTTTCGAAACAGCATTAGATATAGGGGTGCAATAGTTCAGCTCTAGTTCTGAGCGTAGGAGCTGTTCGAAAGTTCATTTCGGTATGAGCTGATTGTTTTGAGCAGCTCCTTTGAAAAGAGCTGATCTGATCGAACAGCTCCCATTCCTGAACTGGAGTTTTTCAAGAGCTCCTTTGAAAAGAGCTGATCTGATCGAACAGCTCTCTCTCTCTAAAGAACAGATTTGGATAGTATTTTTGGCTTAATGCCAATCAGTTCTTGAGAGAGAGAGAGAGCTGTTCGATCAGATCAGCTCTTTTGAAAGGAGCTGTTGAAAAGGTCCAGTTCAGGAACGGGAGCTGTTCGATCATATCAGCTCTTTTGGAACGAGCTGTTGAAAAAGTTCAGTTCAGGAACGAGAGCTGTTCGATCAGATCAGCTCTTTTAGAACGAGCTGTTCAAATCAATCAGCTCCTACCGAAAGAACGTTCGAACAGCTTTTTCGCTCAGCTCAGCTGAACTTTTGAGCTGGAGCTGATGCACCCCTAATTGGAAGTACGAATCTGCAGAATTATTTCTTAGAGTTGGCTTGGAATCAGCACATTAATGAATTTAACTGGATTTTATTGTTGAGTCTATCACATAAAATTTTTACGATATAGTGTTAATCTAACTAATTTTAATTGATATTACATATAATATAACCTAATGTAATACCAATTACTTTTGGCATAAGCCCCATTAAAATTGGATTACCTCCATGGAATACAAATAGGATGAGCACACTGTATAATTGGTCATATTTTCGTATGTGTTTACTCTATCTGCTACTAAGATGGTTAGTAAAGGAGTTAGAATTTTATTTTTATTTTCTCACTTTATGTGTGTAACATTTTAATATTTTTAAGCAATAGCTATCAACAATAATAAAACCTGGGGCGAATGACAGCATTTTTTACATCGAAATAATTGCTCATATCTTTTATATTTGTGTTTAAATCGATGAACACTTGATAATAGTTTGAGGTATAATATTATCTAATATTAAATAAAAAATAAATCATGCGTCTTATGTAATTAGATTTCACCTTCAAATTTCATAGAAACCGTGGTGAAGCTATCGATTGCCTCGTCGTTAATTTTATGTCACAGACGGTGGCACACACATTATAGAGTTGTTCAAAGGCTTGAAATAATTCCAAACAATAATGTTCTCATTTATTCTATTTTTATGAGACATATCGTACAATAATTGTATCTATAGTACACAGTTATTGAACAATAAATAAATAATCAAAAAGATAGAATAGAAAATTTTCTCTTTACCTATGTCATCTCTAGGTCAAATTTCAACAGAATTTTTTTTGTTATAAATTCTGAATAAAATATACACTCGCGTTTCACTATCAAAAAATGCCTAAGGATGTAGAAAAGCTGCATCCCGCCACAATAGAATTCGGTTAGATAAACAAAACATTCACGACATACTTTTCATGTATTTCATCACTATGCAGTAACATTCCAATTGTTTCCATTGTATGTGCATCGTTTCGTTTGCAACATGTCTGCCTTTTTTTTCGAACCTTAAAAAGTCATGTGCAGTCTTTCATTATTTTTTCAATGACAGCAGAGCATTGAAAAAAAATCCGAAGCAATTGATGAAGGACCCTTGTATTGATAAAATTAACCTGTAACGATATGCTTAAACTTCACATCGACAGAATTCTTTTGATTTTTTTGATTATAACAAAGAACGCATGTGCTCGAATTTGAAAACCTTTTATTTGCTAACGTCTCATATGTCAATTTTATTTAGTTTTTCAAATGAAAGAGGAATCTTGTTATTGTATGAATCAGAAGAAAAAAAAATTTAAATAACCTTGGTAAAAACAAAATAAATATAATGATTCAAATCATCACAGGAAACGAATTGCTTTGATGTACAGCAAAAAAACACGCGCATAGGATGAAAGAAAAATGATACATTCCAAACATGGCATTTTGTAGAAGTAGACGAAAATGTTGATTAATATCAAGAAAAATGACACGACCACTTATGACATGTAAAAACACGTACATAAACAATTGAAGAAGATTTCGAAGAGTTAAATATTAATCGATTATGATTTTTCTAGAACTTCAGAATAAGAAGAATTATAGAAAATGGCAATTTCTATATCCTACAACTGATCTTTCTATTAGTTTTTCTTGATTTTTCCAATACAAAATAATAAATTAATTTGAAGGTTCGATACTAGTCTGCATATTTTCTAAGTCAGATTATTCTCTTATCTAGATCAAAATATCCTTAATTACTTCGGCGAACTAATTTATCATCCTTATGTGCCAACCAAAAATTGATTATGATCAAGATAAGTGAACTAAAATATTCGTTTGACAAATGCAATTTGTGACATCTGTAATCCATGATAATGTATTGGATAGAATAGATACGATCACTACGACGGTTCAGACAAATAATTGTATTCGTTCGTTCGTAGTTAAAATCGCCAAGATTAATACTAAAGAAAAATTCATTTCTACATCTAATTTCATTACGCTGTTCTTTTTTCCTGCCTTTTAAATAATAAATGACTGTGCTGAATCGAACTGTGTTCGATATTCCATTAATTTGGAATCGACGTCGATTTCTATCAACACATAATAAACGTCGATTAGCACGAAAACTTATTGAAACTAGTATTAATGGTAAATCAATAAATTAATGTATCAATAAAAAATAAACATTCTTTTTTGTATGAAAAATTTAGTTCAACTAGAAAAACAGATGAGAAGTGGATTTTCTCATAATATTGAAATCGAACAGAATATAACTGAAATTGATGAACATCTATTAAAATATCGTGATAAATTACATTTACTTGATAATATGATTGAATTAGCTTCACAATCGCTTCGAATTTATTTTGATAAAGTACTTAGTATGATTTCTATCGATCTATGACATAGTTTTTATTATTAGAGAATGGAAAGTGTACGTGCTATTATTAAAGAACATTGCAATGCTATTGAACAAGTTATTCAAGAAGAAGATGAACATTGGAAAGAAATTCACTCTATAATGAACCAGTATGCATTTTAATTTATACTTCGTTTTTTTTCATATTTAAGAAAAACCAATTTTGATACTAAAATAGAAATCTACTAAATCCTGGAGATATTCGTTCTCGTAATAATAATTATCCTCGTGTAGTACAAAAAAGCCCGGCAGCAAATATTCAAACAATAGAAGAAGTAGATGATGATGATGATAATGTTAATAGACGTGTATCCAGACTATTGGTAATTGAAATAAGATTTTAATATTCATTTTTTATTCCAAAGATTTGTTTATTTCTCTTCAAAGAATACTAAAACATTAACACCATTATTATCACAAATGATTCGCAGTAAACGAAAAATCTTTTGTTTTTCTTAAAAACTATATCACATAATCATAATAATTAATATTTAGAATCACAACTAGAACCAAAGCGTCTTACAGTAGTTCCATCCATTAAAGTGCATAGTCCTGGCGGACAAGATATTTCCGTGTTCAGAAAAGATGATCGATTTAGCATGAATATGTTACCACGTAATACAATTCGGCAACCTTTTGAAATTATAGAAACAACATTTGTTGTTAAACCTGAAAACACTCTCATGGATGGTGAAATACAAAACATCGAATTTGATGATGAAGCAAATGGAACATATCGTGCTCCTCATCGACAATATCATTCATATTTAGCTGTAACACAACCGAATCCATTGTTGACCGATACTCAACCAAATATACCAACAAGACTATGTTTTTCACCAACAATGCTTCAAGATGCAACTGTCTCAAATGAAGATGATACTAATAACAAAACATCTTCTTCCTCTACTAATGAAAACAATAAAGTATTGATGAATGCAATTTTCACATCACTTGATCAGAATCGAACAAGTAGCATAGATAAATTTGTTTTCGTTTCAATTTTAATGTGATTTCTTTGATTTTACATAGATATTAAACAATTCACTAGAGATAATCATCATTTTGGTCAAACATTTTTTCTTGATACTCTTAAAACAGAGCAAAGTGGTGATGATCAAAAGATATATAAACGACCAACTATTCAAGATGATGACGATGTAGTGATTATTGATGAAATTCATCCATTCATACGACCATTAGAATATATTTCTCGTAAGTTATTAAAAACAAAATTAGCTTACCTTGAATGTACCGAATAAATTGATTTGAGCTATTAGAAAAGAAACGCTACGCTCTCAATGAACAATTTAGCACATTGGATAAAATTCAGTCATTGTCTCTCTTTTCATTCAGATACAACGAACAATACGGCTAATTGTCGTTCACATTTTCCAAATCAACAGTAAGTTGTCACATTTACTAATTTTTCGAATTATTTGATTATTCTAGAGAACCAAAAACTGTTCAAGAAACAGTAGCAACTAAACCGCGACGACGTGCAACTACTACTAAAGTTAAAGCTAAATCAATTATTGTTACTACAAGAAAAACTCGAAGTGCTGCTAAAATCATTGCTGAACGAGAAGCAGCGATGGCAACTGCAGTAAAAGCAGCATTAGAAAAAACGATCGAAAAAAAACGAAAGACTCGAAAACGTAAACAATCGAAATCCATCGATCGTCTAGCAGAAACATCCGATGAAGATTATGAAAAGGCAGCATCACAATCGAACTTCAGTCGAATAGCTAACAAGAAAAGAAAAACAAAACTATATAAAAAAACAAAAATCGACCATCATCCATACGAAACATCTGAAGACGATGATGATGATGATGATGATGATAAACCAGCTAGAACTAAACGCAAAACTCGAAGACGAACTCAATCAAATAAATATGATCATAAAGAAGAAATATTGAATGATAAAGAAAATAGTAAAAGAAAAACTAAAAAATTAAAAAAAAACGATATTACAAATAATCAGAATGAATTTAAAAAGAATTCTGCAAGACTTAAAAAAGTCAAACTATCAATAATTGAAGATGAAGAAAAATTATCAAAAGAAAAAAAGCGAAGACAAAAGCTTAGAAAAATAAAAAGTATGCTTTTCGAAAATTAATTCCGAAAATCTTTTACTATTTTCTATTAGATGACGACGAACAAACGACAAAACATAAAAATACTCGAGCTAGTGCTAGTAAGTATTTTTTCGATGAATAATCTGTCTGTTTCCTTGATTGAATTTCATCTAGAACGTAATCACCGTGCAATGTAAAACTAGTATTTCTTTTTTCATTTCTTTTGTACTAAATTATTCGTTTATAAAATAAAGAATAATTCTATTTTTTGTGTTAATATGTAATGTAACGCGGGAAATATAATTTAACAAACAAAACAAAAAATAAAGGTTTTATATTTCGTTATTTAAAGACTCTTTTTCTTATGTCTTTGAAAATAATTCAAGACTCAAATAATGTCGAAGGTAGATTTAAAGTTTGCATATAACTGTTTCTTTTATTTGATTTTCATCTTTGTAATTAAACAAGAATTCATTCCGATTAATAACAATGTTGATTTTGATGCATGCAATACCTGTCATAGATCAGAAGTACGATAAATAGTTCCTTTGTTTTTGTACATGTGGATAATTATTGCATTCTTTCAGAACAGTGATCCGATGAAATTAATGGAATTTTCAAGTCGAATAACTGCCCTAACAGCTGAAGAAACTAAATTGAAAAGTCTTCATCGACGTTTAGAAATGCGCATAAAACGATTTTTACATCGTACGCATAATTCAATAGTTATACAAGAGTAAACTAGGTTTTCTTTTTACATCTGTTGAAAAAAAAGAAAACGAAATAATAATTATTTCGATAATTTTCAGAAAACTACTTAATATAGAAAAATGTTCAAAAAATGAATTACTTTTACGTCAGAGTTTGATACAACAAGAAAAACCACCCAAAGACTATAAACAAGTTTGGAGTCATATACAATATATCGAAGCAGATAATAAAAATCTTGAAAAAACTATTGATTCTCTTTGTACTAAAGTAATATTCAGATTTGGAAATACGACTTACGAGAAAAATAACGACATCGATATTTCTTTTAGATAAAAGAAATAGAAAAAGATTCAGAGCGAACTAGAAAAATGCATAATAAGCAAGATGATACTGAACAATATAATAATAAAACAAAGTTAAGTCAAGCTGAAAATCAGTTGCATCGCGTCTGTAATCTGTTTTGTTTTCGATCATCAAGAAATAATATTAATTGTTTAGATGAATCTTGAATTAAGCAAAATTTGTGCAAATAATGCTGAATTACGTATTAATATTAAACTTATGTTAGATGAACGTCGTGAAATGATTGAAGAATATAATCGACTTCGTATTGCCTTGCAAAATGCAACTGATGAATCGCGTCGATTAACTCACGAGTGTTCAGAAAGTTTTGCTAATAGGTATGACGATTTTTATGAGATTAGACAGATTTGCTCGTGCAACAGTTTTCCTTAACTGAGTAAAAAAAATGAAGATTCAAGTGCCATATTCCATCTAGAGTGTGTTTAGTCATTAACTAAATTAAGATACGCTAATTTTAAAACAATGATTTTATCTTTACTTTTAAAAATGAATCGTACAGCATCAAGAGGAAAAAAGATTTGTCAATCTAACACCCGAGGAAAATGAAATGGAGTATACGCTTGTAACTTTCCTTACAGTAGCATTTGTATTATTTTAGTTACTGATTTAAATTGCAAAGAATACTAATATTGATTATTTCCTACAGGTTATCATTGGGATCAGTTCGTAGGCTATCTTCCAATTACATGCATCATATTTCACATTCTAAACAAAACGTTTTGTCTCTGGATGAGTCTGAAACGTCACTGCATGGGATATTTACGAATATATTGTGGGGATACAAATTTCATTGAAGATTTTAAGATATCTCAAAATAGCTCAAGTCGTACTGCTGATGACATTCAGGGAATTGATTCATCTCTTATAAGTAATACAAAGACGTGTCTGAGATCTGTTATGTTGAAGTAATCTACAAAACGGATATAATGACAGGTGCTCTATTCACAATTAATCTCGTTCAACAGAAGTCAGAAAAATCTCAACCTGACATAACTATTTACTACTTTCTTGGAAAATCTATGCTAGATATATATGAATGAAATTTTAGACGAAATATGCTTGCACGTATGCGAGCTATACGCGATCAACATGAACGTGATGAAAAGAAATTACTGAATGATATTCGCGAACTTGATCGATTATCTGAAAGTAATTATGCATCGAAAAATTTTATTGTAAAAAAATCCAATGTACGCCAAGAACAAACTCGATTGAATGAACTATTCTCTGGCAAACGTAATAAACTAAGCTGATTTATCTTTTTTTTGCTCTGAACTTAACGATCATTATCAATAGGTGCTCAAGGAGTAAAAAGTGCTTATACAGCCAATGAATTTCGGCATTTATTTCGTATTGGTTTTGATCAAGATTTTTTCAAAGAAAAAGTACTTAGTCGAGCTGTTGAAACTTTTATTGGCGAACAAGAACAAGTATTTACACTTTTTGAATATTTTGTAGAATTAGTTAACGAAGTAAATAACACTTAAATTTAAAAAAAACGAGTATAACAGATCTTTACACTTGAAAATAGCTTGATCATCTTCATGAAGATCTTGATAATAAACGAAAATATATTTCAAATCTATTCTTGAATGATAATATTGATACAATTGTTATCAAAGATATATTTGCAACATTAGAAGTGAGTTAACCATATTTTTTCTTTAATATGCCATTACAATTAAACGAAGATTTTCCTTTTTCAGTATTCTGTAAATAAAGCTAATACGAATGTTCAATCACTTCACACAGCTAAACAAAATCTTCGCATAATATTAGACACTGCTTATCAATTGATCAATAATTTATTTCTTGAACTTAACTGTGATCGAAATATTATTCTATCGCCGAACGAATCAATCAATGATCGAAATATTCTTTTCTATTTAGCTACAATTGAAAGTCGTGTCCAAGAATTGTTATTTACGTTAAAAACAAATCGAAAGAGTGGAGGAACCCATGGCTACACAGATGATACGACTATAAGTTGGCGAATAATTCATAGAAATATGGATCAGTCATATAATTAGCAAAATAAAAGCATAATGAACAACATTTTTCGTTGTTAACTTGAGAAACCATTTGTCACAAAAAGTTGCGAATCAACAAAGAAAACAAAAATTCGGAATAACTATAACAGGAATGCAATAGTAACAGCAATTCTTCGACACGAAACAATGTTTTTGTTCGAACTACGAAATAACATATTGTTTCGAACACAGTTATTTTTATTTTGCATGCACAAGTACTAAATTCAAAGGATGCAAGAATTTTTATGGTTCATTTTCTCTTAAATTCTCTGTTACATTATAGCGGAGAATGTACTTCTGTAGATAGTAATACTAATAGTAGCTAAATTAGAGAAGTTATGAAGAGTGTAACCATACCCAGGTCGAAGAGTCCGGCATGGAAACGGCCGGTTCCGGTTAGTTCCGTTGATTTTGTGGAAGCAGTATTCCGGTCGGAAATTGGCAGATTTTTTTCCCGATGTATTCTGGTCATCTTCCAGCCGGAAACCACAGGAAACTGACTGGAATCCATAGGAAAAAATCCGGTAATTTCCGGGCGGAATGCTACAATATTATTAAGGTGTCATAAAAATCAAATGAATTCAAGCGAGTCTGTTATCTTGTTTCTCTTTAATGGTTCGTATCTTTTACTCAAAAGGTTTTCCAAATATAAAAAAAATACTACGCGCTGTCCAGTTGGATAGATGTCACCATCAATCGAATGTTTTTACTGAATTATAAATATTATTCGAATAACTACTACTAATTATCAATATGAATCTCATAAATAAGCATACTTTTGAACTTTTAATATGATATAATTTCCATAAAAACTCTAGTTAATCGAGTCATTATAACATCCAATCATCAGATTTTCCACGCAATGCGAATAAACATGGATGAAACGAATAGTTGTTGTTTTTTTTAACAATGTATTTCATATGCATATCAACTGCTAGTTACTTTTCGATGTGATCTATTTTTTGTTTACAAAAAAATGAAATTTTCCGTTTTAGAAATTAGAATTTCTTCGTCGGAACAATGACGAAGGGTACACAATCGTTTGGTAAACGCAACTGCAAGACTCATACATTATGTCGTCGATGTGGACGTTCATCGTACCATTTACAAAAAAAACAATGTTCTGCTTGCGGTTATCCATCAGCTAAAATCCGTAAATTTCAATGGAGTGATAAAGCTCGTCGTCGAAAAACAACAGGCACCGGCCGAATGAAACATTTGAAGAAAGTCTTTCGTCGATTTCGAAATGGTTTCCGTGAAGGTACATTAGCTAAATCACGTAAAGCTCATCGTCAAGCAGCAGGCACAACAACAACCACTGCACCAGCTACAACCGCGAAATAAAATAAAAAATATTGTTTTGTTGTAAACCTTTCGGTAAAACAACTTAGAAGAAGAAATTCAAATAAAAAAAAACGAGGAAGAAATCGATTGTTTTAGATTTTTATGTCTTTGTTATTTTTTTTTAATCTTGCATAAATATTAGTGCTTCGATGATTTAAACATTCTATCGCTGAATCATACGTGTGGCTTAGATAGATACTTGAATTTCTTCAAATGAGAAGCACTAAAAAAATTTTAAGGTTATTCAAAAAACAAAAATGTTTTCAGACAACTCAGTAGAATTTCGATTTGGTTTAAAATCAGTAGATTCATACGAACGAGACTAGCAAAATTTTTTCGTCATTGTTGCCTGAATTTGATATGTTCTGTCGTGTAGACTTGAACACATCATTTTAGCATGTTTATCAGAGAAGACGCTGGACTAAAATTTCAATATATCTCTAATAAAAATTTCATCTGGAATATTAGTAAGCATCGCTTCGATCTATGATACTAAATGATAAAAAAGCCAAAAAGTTGCACGCCGAATATTTGTGTTGTTTTTCTCTCGGGAATAAATCAAAGATATTTAGGATAGATATTGCAGTCTTTCGAGTAAAAATAAAATTTTTTGATGTATAAAAAGTTTCTTGTTTCGTGAACCGGAACGAACTTCATCAAGCAAAATATATCGGGTAGAAATTTTTATTCAACTCTTATAAAATGTTCTGGTGCATTTGGACTTGAGTACATGTCAAGCTGAAACTTATACATATAAATGAAACCTTAATTTATATGAATAAGGGTGTTTTTTTTGCTAATCATAATATACAGTAATAGTTCTAAATTCATATTGATAATTTCGAGGTTGTTTCGTGCCAGAATAAAAACAATAATATTAGCTAATGAAATGAGAACAGTACATATCAAAACGATGAACTATCTTTGTATTCATGCCTTCGAATGGACGACTGAACTAATTTGTAGAAAAATATTGGTCTAGAAAAAGAGAAATTATAATCAGAAAAGATTTTTTAATTATCGTGAATGTCATAGTTCACCGTATCAATTTTTAGCTGACGACAGGTACGGAGGGAAAATGCATTGAGTAGAATATATTATATTTATCAAATAATTGATCAACTATTTCTTGCTAACGTAAACGAGATCAAACAATGATCTCTTAAAATTATTAATTGACTCAACATTTGATTCAGAGTAAAACATTGGTCTACTTAGGACAGGAATGTATTTGTTAAAATAAAAATCGGACTAAATTATCAATCGGATGAACGATTGCTCTATGCAGAAACATGCGAATGACATATCTTATCATGTTCTGGTTCCACTAGCTATTTTGTTACTTTTGCTGTTAGAAAACAACATAACATAACTATTATTCAATATTGTATATTTTAGTGTCATGTTGGAACGATTTGTTCCGTGCCACTTCCCGCAGGAATTGGGAACGACATAAAAAATGAACGCCTCCGAAAACCACTTTTTTTTCTTTTGTTTTATACATATAATATGCAAACTTTTGACTTTTAAATAGAAGGTATAGCAGTTTCGTCAATGTCACGATTCAGAAATATATATTGTAACATTTTTCTATAGATTTCAGCATCGTATAATAACGCAAAGAAAAAGTAACTTACCAACAAGATCCTAAACAATTTTATCTAATGTTCATTGAAATTCGATTCAGTTACGACAAATATCATTTGCTGTATGCTGTTTTTAGTCTCTGAACGATTCAGATTATGTAGAAATGTGCACCTTTATAATCTTCGCTTTATCATACATGGTGTTGATGTGCTACTTTTTTATTTTATGTTCAATATCTGACGTGACAAAGGAAATAACTCGTTTAAATTAATTTCGACGTAAAAATAAAAATTGAGTGTGCGGGTGAAAACGTAACACTTTTGATCATTGGATTTTTAATTCGGGAAAATTCCCTTTTTAGCGAAGTTCACCGTAGGTAAAAGTTAGCGTCTTATCTGTTGAACACATGTAAAAGCGTGAAAAGATTTTGATTTCAACAGCTGAGTACGATTGCATTTGTTAAACTACGCTGATAGAAGTAAACGCAAGTTTTCTTTTGAAATATGTCAACCCTGATACGAACAAGATATCTGGAAATATACTTGCGCATGCTTTATTGTGAATATAAATTCGAAATGCAGTTTGAAAAGCATAAAATTATCAGACAAATTTTCTTTTTTATTTAAATATTATTATTTGAAAAAATGTAGAAGCGGAATTTTAACGAAATACAGAAAAGAAAACTATCGATTTGAACCTTGTTAATGCAGAAAATTCTGAAATATCAATACTCGATTGAATGAGTTCATGTTTACAGTTGCAAAAAGCTCTAGGGTATATTTAAATTTTACATAGATACATTAAAAATTAATGGTACATGCAATAAAAGTGCTATGCAACATTTTTGTGAGATACTATTTTTAGATACAAAAACGCTCAAAGTTAATGCCAACGATGACGATAATAACTTTTTTTTAGCTATTTCCACGGAAATTTGTAATTATGACTTTCATATTTATTCCACTATACGCCTACGAATCCCAAGCCCAATAACATTTATTATAAACCACACTTGATGAAAACAGTCGGAGTCTGCTATTCACAACTATAAAATCATTTGAAAGATATATGAAAGAGTTGTCTTCCTATCAATTGTTTTACAAAATTATCATATTTGTTGCAATGATGAAGAAATATGATTTAATAATCTCAATATAAAAGTCAGTTGCTCTGGATCTGCTATCAGTATGATTCATCTTTATATAGATCAATGTTCATCTAGTCAGCTGATTATTTTCAATAGCATGATTGAAATTAAGGATGAAAGACGAACACTTTCGTGCGTCCCATTGATAATAACTAGAGTAAGGTCTTTGAGACCGATAAGAAATTTTTAATTTAGAAATCTGAAACTCGATAAAAAATATTCTTTTAATAATTAAATTTGCTAAGTTTTGCATACAAGACACTACAATATTTCGAGTTTTTAAGCAATAGGTGAACGTCTCGCTGTCTGTGCGAAGTATTTTTGTGGAAATGAATAGATTTCTTGTTGAATAGCGATTTAGTTATTGGGCTTTGAAACTCTTCGATCTCGTAATATGCAATTACATATGTTGGCACGTGAGAAAAATTCATCATTCTCTATGAACATTTTAACTAGGTCCTAGAGATTCATTAAACTTTAGATTTTCTAGACAGCCTTCATGCTGATAAATCGTAAAATATTCTGACACAATCAAAGCATTCTGTTTCAGACATAGTATATGATTATCAGCATTGGATTTTTGCAAGATATCATATGCTTTTTTGATACATCTAATTACTTTTCTATCTGTATATGTGTGTTTTAAATAAATATAAATTAGTATGTTTTGACTTTTATTAACAGCAGATGTGTATTTAGACAAATGTTTATATTGATCATTTTCGAATAATTCATGCATGAAAATAGTCGGCACATTGAACAGGCTTAAGGTGCATTGCTAATAGTCCGTTTGATTTAATTCCGCAATCTTTTCTCCTCTTGGTTTCTTTCTTCAAATGCAATCTTTTTTTTTGAATCATTTACTTGGATAAGATGAATCGTACACTTGAGATTCAATGTTTCATCGGTATAATGACAGAGCTTGCAAATCTATCGCAGAATAGGATTGGTAAGATTGAGAATGGTATGCAATTTTATATTCTTTTGTATTTAAATATTCTCTAAAGTACGTAATATTGAGGCTGCTTCGATTAGACACGTTATAAATCAGTTTAATTTCGATATAATCTTACAATGTCTTTTAATTATGGGCTTAGTTTATTATTAGGCCGATAGATTTCATTCTTCGTACATCGTAGTCACAGCATGTAAAACGAGACGAAAGCCCCCTCCTTTTTTTGTTACCGTTAAGCTACACCTATCTACGTCAAATAGTTAACGTAATGTATTATTTACTAAGACGAAAGATTAGTTTCATCTATGATATTTTTTAAATAAACGCAGTTAGCTTTAGTCTCAACTAAGATAAAAAGATTATTCTGATAATAAACTATCTATTTAGGTCAGAGTAAAAACCTTTTGTATACTATGAACGAATAACGTTGGGCAGTTTGAATAGAGAAGAATCATTAAATAATTCTAGATTGGAATAAGTGCGTGGGATATAATTCTGAAAATACTTCGAGAAATTTTCCTTTAGGACAAATTCAATGTGTTGACTAGCATAAACGCTTGATAAGCTGTATATTACATTAACTATACTAGTTAATTTAGCTAGGGGAAAACGAATATGTATTCTTAAAAATATTCATCGAACACGTTTTTCATCATAAAAATATCACATTTTCTATTAATTATATATATATATTATTTATTAAATATGATCCTTAATATCAAGTATTAGATATCAAGTATTCACAAACAGGGTTTATATAGATGCGCACAAGGGTGAAATCATTTTTTAATAACTCAGTGATTATTTCTCATATCTTGTTTTGCCGAATCTGCTCTACTCTTAATAAAAGTCAAAAAAAGTGTTGGATACCGCTAATAAATCATCATTTGTTTTCTGATCGGTAACAGTGTTTTTTATTGACTGTAGATATTTTATATATGAGATCTGATTTTATGATGTTTTTTTTATCAAAATATATCCAATGAACGTGGACTATTTCTATTTAAATTTATTTAGTTAATCACTATGATGACACTATTTAATATGAAATTCTCATGTGTCTCCGTTTTTTGTTTTGATCGTTTTAAACTGCATACGCGGCAATAAACATCACGTTGTCGTTTTTATGTGTTATTAGAGAAAGACTTCAAAATCATAAATCTTATTTATTATAGTGAATTCTATATCACCAAGTCGGTAAGCACCAGTCGCACGAGCATATTGGATGTATAGACTCATAAACCTTTTTTTTTTCTACGAGAATTCTAGCATGAGGAAAAACGGTAATCATACATAAATTGCTTTAAAATGATGTTAGGACAGGACGTAAATGTTAAAGGACTTTCCTATTTGATGTTTTCTGTTTTTGATTACCAACTCATTAGGAAAGTCATATCTAAAAAAATAGCTATGCGGGGGCAATATCATTAATGGAATAATAACTATATAATATATAAATATGGACTCATATGCTTTAGACTTCTAAAACGTATATCTAGGAAAACCAGGATACAGAAAAATCTCTTTGTTTTTGTTTTTTCAAATCATTCATTTTTTTAGTAGTATATCCGTATGTTAATAGCATATTTTTAGTTGTTTTTCGGACTCATTGACTGTATTTCACTGTTTTCCTCTACATACCATTTCCGATGTTCTTTGCGATAATCAGTTGCTTTTCATACCCGTAATAAAAGTACGTATTATAATTAAAATCTATTTAAAGATATAATTGTTTTCTTTTCAACATGCGAAAAAGGTATTGACCAATAAATGACAAAAACGTAAGTCGATTTCTCCACAAAAAGAAATCAACATTGTTTATTTTCAATAAAGATTAAATACATTTTTCAAGAATTTTATTATTTGTTATACAGTTTCCAAGTTCATATTTTTTAAAAGGTATGAATTTTATTTCGAACCTTAATTTACAACGAGAATATAAATACACGAAACACGACAAGACAGAGGTTATTTAAAAGTGTGTGCGCCTTTTGTCTTTCTCTGTTTTGATATTTGTTTGCCTTGTGTTTTTACACTATACATGACTCAGCATTTAATTCAAAAAGAAAATAGAAACTATTACAGACAGACATAGAGTTTTTTTTTTGCTACAGATGAATGCATCAGTTACACCTTTGAATGACGACAAGAAGAGAAAAACCATATCTATCATACGTCCACTAAAATTCATGAGATTCTCAATGATTTACTGTAATTGAATATTATATAAATAAAAAATCATGATATAATTCTAGAGTAATAAACAGATATTTGTAGTAAAATCAACAATAAAAGTCATATTATTTGTTTAATACTAGTAATAGAAACAAAATATTATCTTCTCAAGATAAATTGACACGTTAATATTCCTGACTAATAGATTATTTTTCAAGGAGCTTTGCTCAACTAACCATATTTACTTGCGCGATTATCGCATAATTCTAGTGTTGCGATGGTTTTCTTTTATAATCCCTCTTTTTTCTTTTTTTTTGCTGATCAAATTTCAAGTAAAATGATAAAATCGTTGACGTCATAAATACCTACCGTGTTGGTCATATATTACTCAAATCTATTCTCGCAAATATCTCAATATACGTATTCAATAAAAACGAAACAATCACAACTGAAGAATTTCTTTTTCTTCCTCGATGACATCAGTTGAGTAAGATTGCACAAGAAACATAAAAAGAATTTAAGTTCCTCTGTAACTATTCCGTATACACCATGAAAAAGTCAAAGTGAGTTATTTGTTAACTTGAAATTTTGTTGACAAAAAAGAATTTATAATTCCATAAGTTGACCAGCAACACTGGTGAATAGAATTTCTATGTAACTTTATTCTAAATTGATCAATTTACCATGCTCATTGTAGTTTAGATGACCATTACCTATCAAAAATAAATAAATAAATACTATTTTTGAACTGTTTTTTTTCTAGTAAATACCCCACCTAGTTTTTCCTTATTTTCTACTACAGCAGTTTCGTTTGCTTACTGTTTATGGCGAGTTCTTTCTACTGCAACTGCAATCCGAGGAAATTAATTTTTTTATTTTCACTCGTTCACAGATAGTCACCTTATCATTTTAGTTTTCGATATCAATGATGTAGTAGATATTTCCCGTTGATTCATATATTACTAACTTTCAAGTCTAACTATGTAATATAAGTCCGGCATATTTTCTATTTTAGACTGAATCCAACTAAAACTATCCATGAATCGTTATATTATAGTTCACTCACTTATTCTATTTTCATTTTTCCTAATATTCACATCTGGTCGACCATTGTATTATGACGAATTAAACGACGACAGTATTACAAGAGTATCTACAACTGACGAGGAAGGTAAGTTTTAATTTAAAAAATAATATCTATTTCCATTTTTCATAATTAATGTATTTATTTGCAGACTCAGAAAACTTTCAAGCAGCACTAGCAGCTTTGTTCGGAGACGATAACAATGATGACGATGATCAGAAAGAAAACGCATCATTTGATTCTTATGAAGAAAAAAAATTTCATCAACGATCAGCATTCCCTACGTTTCATGGCTCAACTACAATATCGCCTGACATGAGACAAGCAATAATGGAGTTTATTCAAAAAGCTATCGATCAAAGATGGAAAGCCGATTTAAAATATCATGCTCCGGGAACACGTTTTGGTCGTCACCGACGATGATTTGTTATTCTATTAATGCTTTGTTTTTTTGTATATGTCTAGAAAATTACATAAGAAATGAGATTCTATACATCGACCGTCAGATCTAAATATAATCAAATTTCAAGAAAGATATTTAGAATAATTCAAATTTATGGATATATTTTTGAAAACTTTTTATGAATTCAGAATACTTGCGAATTTTTTCAATTGCATGAGCTAGTTTCTTTTCTGTCATCATCTCATATTTAAAAACAAGTAAATCAATAAACAGCTCTACTAAGAATATCAGTTGATTACTGATTAAATCAAACAAGAATCTAAGAGTTCACTAGTAATAACCAAACAAAAAACCGTGCATTTGGTTTTCATTTTGGTATGTTTTTCAATAGGAAATCAAAAACAGAAAAGGTAGTTAAAAATTGTAATTTTTACCAGTGTCTATTTTGATTGAAATCGCATTTTCCAAATAAATAAGTCTGTTACGAATACTTGGTTGTCAAAATCAGCGTTTCTATTCGGAGGACAAGTTGTACCTTGGTAATGATAAAAATAGCATGAGTTAAATAATCTGGAATCTTCTCTTGATAAGATTGACAGGAGACCAAAACAATAAATAAATTGTCCGTTCTCAATTCTGTCAATCAAGAAAATCTAATTCTGTCTCGTTTGATAATGTATTTCTTTTTATTCTAGTACATTTTACAGCATTGCTTACATAGAATCAGTTTTAATTCGGTCAATTCTGCTATAGGTCACAGAAAATGTAATGTAAATGTTGAGTCAGGATATTCTAAACTTATATAAGGCTAAATGCTATTTTTTTATAGCGCTAATGTTATTTTCAATTATCAACAAGTCATGTATATGCTAATGAGAATGTTTTTACAAGATAAAGGACATTCGGTTATTGAATCATTTCCCTAAAATAGCTTTATTTACTGTATTCTATTGAAAGGTTACTTAAAAAAAATGATGAAATCACTCGGCATAGATCAAAATGATATCGTAGACATACTTGCTAAATTTTGAGACGGTGTGGGTGTATAAGGGAAAAATCCATTGCTTTAGCTACTTATCAAATTGTAAATTATGTTTTGCGTCAATGCAAAAGTCAAGCATTTTACTGATAAGTTATCATGCATCGAAAAAAGAATTAATATTCGCTTGTAAAAAAAAACGTTTTTGTTGAAGGCGTATCATTTGATAACAAAAAATAGAAAAACTTCAAAAAATTCTGTCATCTATTTCTTAATCCAATACTATAATTCATTTTTCAAAATAGAAAAAAAAACAAGAGTTAATTTTCACTAAAATAAATCAAAGAAATAATCAAGTCCTTGACCTCCATCCCACACCGCTGCGCCGACATGAAGTTTTGTTGCCAATTCTAAGCGATCATAAATTGATTTTAAACTTGGATAAAAAATAAGTATTTGCGGGCTGGAATTTTCCTGTCGATTACTCATCGTACGACTATATACTATAGTAATATGTTCATGTGCGCGTTGATCGAAACTTATTATTGCTGTCTTGTAATGTTTTCTCAGAAAGTCGATGTAATCATGGCCAAGAATATGTTTTAGAGTGTATTGTTTTTGATCCTTCGGTGGTGGTGGAATAATTTGATCATAACGATAACCATAGAAATTTAGACTGAGAAATATTTTCGCTGATCTGCCAGTGTGACTAGCAAGAAATTCATTCATGATTTCTTTCATCCATTCTATAAATTAATAAGTTTTGTTCGAAATCAGTTTAAAGAAGAAAAAAAAGAAAATTTTTAATCGTTTCCATTTCACCATAGGATTATTATTTCATTCTGTCAATCGAAAATTCAACTATGAAGTACTCAAAATTTTCTATTGATCTCTTCGTTTTCAATCAAGTCTAAAGAAAACTTTCAAAAAAATGTTTAATTTTAAACTCCAATTTTTTGTATAGTCTTAATTGAACCAGAAAAGAAGGTCTGACTTGTGTTGTCTTTCCTTTTAAATATTTACCTATTGGAGAAACTGGTCCTGGTTCTTTCATTGTAAAATCATAAGTCATAATAATAAATCCATCTAAACGTTCAGATAACGTTTGAAAATCATACTTATCAAAGTATTCTCTCAAAGGTGGAACAGATAAAATAACTTCTTTTTTCTTCGTGGAATTAGTATCGATTTGATGTATATGCTCAGCAATATCACTAAGAATATGATTAACTACGGCTTTTGATGGGCCACTAAAATGTGCTAGTAATTCAAGAACATAACCATCAAATAAATCCATATATTCAATAAGAAAATTTTTCAATGCTAGTGATAATTGTTGTTTTTCACTTTCGGATTGAAATAATGCATGAATATCATCAGTAGACCATTTTTCAAATGAAACTCGAGGTACAATACGTACATCTGGATGTTTTTCTTTTAATGTTTGAATCCATTGTGAATCGATATCATGTGTACCTTCGATATAATATTTTTTAATATCGATTCGTTTTATACGAAACCAAACTGGAGATACATAATCGAATTTTTGTGTAAAATTTTTTACAAGATCATAACCACGATTGTTCCATGGTGTTATATAAATCAGAGTGGGATTAGTAAATTGACGAGTTCCAGAACAACTATGACAATATGATTGATAATTTTCGAGAACTGATTTCGGATCGATATCTTCTTGTAATAGATTACGTTCTAAAACATCTGTGTCAGATGGCGGAAGAGATTCTTGTGGTAGTGAATGAACTTTTCCAGATAAATCCAAATCATTAGAAACTGATGAAGATGGGTTAACATTTTCAGGTGGTCGCGATGGAGGTTTACGATTGCCAGGACCTATGGTTGATTCAGTACAATTTAAGAAACATAAGCTGACAAATAATAGTGGATAATAATCCATTTAAATTAAGTGGAAAGAATGTTTTTGTAAAGTTTATTAAAAATTCAAATGTCTAGAATTGTAGGAAAAAATAAAAATAAGTTTTCAATAATAGAAAACTTTTGAGTTAGCAGTACAATTTCAATTGTATTTTTTTCAAATGAACACTTATTAGTGAGTTGAAGACATTCTAAAATCACACTAATGATGATACATTATTAATGTTTATACTTGCATACAAATCAAGTTTAAAAAGGTGTCGACCCATAGAATAATCTATCTCATCCTACTAGAAGTCATTCATACTACCTAGGATAGACACAATTATGAATGGGTTTCATATTGATATGGATTGTGGCTACAATGAAAGTGAGTCTTTCAATTATAAGAGATTCGCCTCAGAGACGTGCACGTGACATAATTTTTTCTCCTATCCTTGTCTGTCCTGTTGCCTACCTTGTTGGTCTTGGTGGGCAGCAGGACAGGACAAAATCTAAATGTCATCCTGTCCTACTGGACAGGACAGGACACCAGGGCCGCCCTGTCCTGTGCACGTCACTGATTCGCATACAACGTTACAATTCCTCATCAAATCATACTATGAAAACTTTTTTTGCCGAAAAAATGAACCATCCCATGGATGTCCTTGAAAAATTTTATTTCGATTTCTAGTTGATTGAAGCGTGCTTTTGTTAAACTTCGCAAAGCGATCAACATACTTGATTACTACCAAAACTACTTACCAAATTTGTTCAAAGCTCTTTCGTTTACTCAATAGCGAGATTATTAAATAGAAAACATGACTAGCTCTGATTTTAGTCATTTCATTATGTCGATGGAAAATCTTTTCCGTCTAATTTTATTTAAAAAATGCCTAATTTTACTTTTCACATGGTTTATTTCTTTCGTCTAAAAAATACAACATTCGCACATAGAGAGCAAAAAGAAAAATAAGTCGAACTGAATAAAAAAAACGTTTTTTTTTCTTTTGACTCTCGTACTCAAATTTTGTTTGCCGAAGAATGAAATTTATGTAAACACAAAAAAGAAGAAAAACATAAATTGAGTATTATTTTAAAACGAGAAGCATAGAGTTATTTAACAAAACGAGTGAAGAAAGAGAAGTAGTCTGTTTGTATTTTCGTTTTCACGAAAGATTAGCATAATTTATATTTATGCATTCAATGATGTTGGCATTGATGGATTTTGAAGAAAATTCATTCGATGCTTTTGTGCTCGTGAGTCGGTTACCTAAATAGAAATGAATTAGCAATACAAATATTTGAAAGAAAGTCTTTTTTTCTTCCATTTACCATTTTTTGTAATTCGGACAATTCCATCGTTAATGATTTTATAGCTTTATTAGCATCTTCCATTTGATATTTTAATATACGATTATCTAGATCTTCTTTATTTTTGTCTTCTTGAATATCTAAACTACTTGTACGCATACGTGGGAACCAATCAAGATTTCGTTGCTAAAACAATAAAGTACGATTTAAGTTTGTTTCCGTTCTAAATAGGAAAAGAAAAACCAAACCTCAATCATTTCATGAACATAACTTTCTGGTCCAGTATATTCTGTTGAATCTTTAACATTAATTAATACCATAAAATAAACATAATTCCACATATTATGAACTTTACGAATATGATCTTCAAATGTAACATGCTTATTATCAAACGATTTACGATCGAGTCCTATAAATAAGAAATTATTTCTCTAGTTCAATAATTAAGACATTTTGATTATTTTTACCGCAAATAAAACATGTATTGCGAAGAATTTCATCATTTCGTTGTTTTTCAGTACGTAAATCAGCGAAATTATCGATAATAACACCAAAAATTAAATTAAGTGTTATAATTATAACGATGAAGAAGAACATCATATCGTAGATAACACGGAAGAAGTAGAGTGGCTCCTTTAAAGACAAGAAAAGAAACACGTTATCATTTTATCTACTAATAATTACGTTCGTGGCAAGTGTCAAGGAGTCTACAGAAATATTTTTCAAAACAAAAAATGCACTAGATTTAAATAAAAATTGACTTTCCATTCAATTTCGTTTTACTATGTACATGGCTATTTAGAATGTTGTACAAATGCCAGTTTATTTGTATAATGTAATTCAGAGTATCCTACAAAACTATGAGTGGAATTAGAGAGAAAATTTAGTCAAGTAGATATTCCTTTCACTGAAGTAAAACAACAATACAGCTACAGTAATCACAGGAAGATTATTTTTTATTCTATTTCATTTTAGCAAACGTTTTCTTTTCGAAAAAAGAAACCCAGTGAACTAGCATGAAAAAAGTAAAATTTTTTCCTCTAAACATACCTGACTAGAAGGTTGCCTTAGAACATCACCAATACCACCACCATTTCGCAAGCCTTTGTTGAGTGTTGTAACAATACACATAAATAACGTATCACAAGACCGTTCAACTTCTTCATCTGCTGCTTCTTCTGACAATACATTTAATGGTTGAGTTGCATGACGAATATTATTTGCTAATGTATCATTAGTACAATTATCTTTAGTACAATATCCATCATTTAATATGCTTGGAATGGTTGTAGCTAAAAATACAAGATGAAGAATATCTATTTCAAATTCTTCTCAACAATACACATAAACACGAAACATTGACAACGACAATTTGACATACGCGTCAGTGTCATTGTTTTAAGAGTGCTATTTGAACGTCGATATCGATGATGGGGATATGATGAATATAATCTTGTTTGAATATTTGTTAAGAAATCATCACGAAAAAAAATAAAACCCACAAGAGAAAAAAGATAAATTAGTATAAGTGCGAGCATCATTGTTAACATAATCGATTTTCCATTTCGTGTCACTGATTGTGTTACTTGAAATAAGGTTGCATCCCGAAAAATCATATCAAGTAACTGGAAACAGAAAAGTTAATTTTCATGTTCTATTCTTTTTCCTTTAGTTTCACAATAATATTCAAATGACATAGAAAGCAACAAAAGCATTCAACAGAAATGAGAGAGTGAGAAAAATTCGAATGATTCTATTTGACTTACTCAAAATCTTCGTATCATTTTGCTGTGAAATCCCAAGTGGTTTCGTATTCACCTCCATAAGAAAATCATCTTGGATAAATAAATAGCCACATATAGCAAATAAATATATGATTATAACAGCAAATACAGCTGTTAATATAACTGATTTAGCATTGCGTACAACACATTGAATTACATTCCATAGAGTATCTTCACGATACACAACATCGAGTAACTAAGATAAGCAATACATCACAACATCAAATATATATATAGATTAAATTTTAGAAGAAATTCTATTTCAAGAGAAATTTTCAACAGTTATATTTTTGTAAATACACAGTTGATCGGCTGATTTCAGAAGAAAAAAAGATTTATCATATTCTCTCTTACAATAAAGAGTCTATTAAGTATATTTTAGTATAGACGGCGGCTAACATATATTCCGTAGAACGGATACAGGGCTGAAAACAAATGAATTTTTATTATCAATTATCAAATACGACTGAACTAATTTGTTTTAAATAACAAATGAAGAAAAATACTCTTCTATAATTTTAAATAATAACAAAAATCATCGATAGTTTGAAAATATTCGCTCATTCGTTTTTCATCACTGAAAGAAAGCTCGATAAATTCACAAACATTTCATTATGCTTAACAAATTTTCAGTTTTTTTTTTATAGATTATGACTAAACAGCTACTTGTAAATAATTTTATTGAAATAATTCAAAAACTAAGTCTATAACGAGCTACAGAAGATTGGTTTCTACATGGTTGTCGACTCCGGTCTTTGAATAGACTCAAAACAATTTTTATTTAAAAGAAAACTTATTAAAAAATGCTATTTTTACAAACACGAAGATTTCGTGCTATTAATCGAAATCATAGGCCTACAGAAGACTTTAACTTATTTAACCATCAACGAAGTGCTCATGGCAAGGTAGTCCAGTAATAGCTATTGAAAGTTAATGATTGAATCCATTTCATACTTAAAATAGGAATTATGCTTATCTCTTGGATAAAAAACGTTTCTTCAATCTAATCTTTAAAATCAATTTTCTATTCCTACAAAATAATATATAAAACAAACTAAACATATTTGCAACTAAGCCACTAACATCAAGCAATCAACAATTAATAAATATATATATATATATATATACATATTCAACTTACCAATAAACTGTAGAAGAATTCATGAACACATAAACCAAGTACACAAAGGAATAAATATCCGACATGATAAACAAGCTCAAAATTTGCCAAATTTTCATAGCGCGATTTAGAAAATGTCCCATTATTGCCCATAAAACTAACTAAAAATACACCTTTATTTAACACCTGAAATAAATAAATAAACTTAGTTAATACTACAAATAATTCGCTCAATAGATTCTACCTGTATTGCTCCCATGAACCATAGAGTAGGGCCAAGACCAACAGAATAAATTGACCGTAAAATTCCGGCAACAAAAAACATACGCATCGATGCTACATTTGGTCTTATTAAGATAGCAACTAAGGTAATAAATAATGCACTCCATATAGCTGCGGAAGCACGAGGATCAAGATCTTATAGAAAGAAAGAAAAACAAATACCAATTCAATATGTTTGATTTCATTTTTCAAATAAATACTTATACCTTTAAGACCTTTATTAAATGGATAGAAAACAGCAACGAGTATATTGATTAAAACAGCAAAATTAAATGATATATCACTCCATAAAGACATATGAGATGAAAACCAATATAATGTTGGTTGATGGCGTAATTTTCTTTGCCATTTCATTTCTTCGAATATTTCTGGAAATTTCTCAAAGAAATCTTTGACTTTTGAACCTTGTTCATCTTGTTCACATGTCAAAAAGACTTTTTGCTTTTTTTCAACAGTTAAAAATTCACATAATTGTGGAACAGGAAAAACAACTGTAAAATAACACTAATTTAGATTTTAAATCGAACAAAAGACATTGATAAATACTTGGTTCAATTGATCGATCATGTCGAATGATTTCAATTTCAGCTGTATGTTTATGATAATAGGATAGCGCTTCATCATGTAGTGTTCGTTTTTGCATTAGTCCTTCAAGTTCACGATTATGACGCGCAAGCTAAAAAAAGAAATATTGTCTCAAATTTATTGCATATTGGTCTCAAAAATCTATACCTGATATGCAAGAATATATATATTGTGACCCACACTCTGAGCAACATTATCCGAACTTTCATTTCCTTCCTCTTCATGCAGTTGTTCATCGTTCTCAGTTTCTAGTGCACTTTTTTCTTGTATTTCTTGTTGTTTACCACGAATATAAATTTCACAACCAACATCAAGCTACACAAAAAAAGCAACAAAAATTAATATTTTTCTCTAAATAGAAACCGGTCTCTCTCTCTCTCTCTTAATTACCAATTGTGAAACAGGTACAATATTTCTAAGGATACGTTCAGCATTTGTACTATCATCGCGACTTTCCATAACAGCTAAAAGTAATTTTGATGCATTATCCTACAGGATCAAAAAATCAATATGGAAAAAGTTAGAATTCATCAAATTATTGAATTTACTTTTAATTCAAGTACAAGATCGTAATTTTTTTGATTTAACGGCGTTATATCATTTAATACAATAGCGATGATTATATCAATGCCATTGGATTCGTGATTAACAATAGCATCTTGATTATCTCGGCATGGCCCTTGGCAATATTCAGTTAATGTATTTAATGCTTGATTTATTAATTCCACATTATTTTCATTAATATAATTTCCTAATAATCCAAGTAAGCCTGTTTGTGAACCACAGATAGCATCAAGAAATTTCAATGTTTCACACACAAGATTATAGTTCGTTTTATTACTATCTTGTAATCGAAGATAATTCTAAAAAAGAAGAAGTTAAGGAAAAAAATTAAGATTAAGAAATAAGAACAATAGAAACCTGAAATTCTGGGTTATGATTTTCACAGAGTAACTGTAGAAAACGTAATATTGGTTGCATGATACGAATTTCAAATGGAAGTTTATGACGACGATTTTGAGATCTAAATATATAAATATTTATTATTTTTATTGAATATTTAATAGCATTGTCTAAAACGTTTATTATTCATTCGGTTTTTTTTAATTCAATTTAGAACAGAGAGTATTCCGACTCGATCACTTTGACGTAGTAAGCTCTAGTTTAATTTTTTAAATTAATATAAAATAAGGAAAAGATGATTGCAAATAATGCCAATCAGAAAAACTAGTGTTTTCTCGCTTGCATAAACCAGTATGCTTATCGATTGATAAAAGTGATGAATTTACTGGATATTTATTTCAAGAAAAAAATGTGGATCTTTTTCAATGATTCCGATACTAGCCACAGGTACTGTATGCAATTATAACAAATTAGGATTGAGGTCTCCACAAAAAGAATTAATTTTCTTCGATTTACTGCATTATCATAAAATTGTGAATCAGGCTAAAAAATTGATCTGCTATTATGGTAAATAATTTAATTGCTAATAGATTTCAAATTAGAAATCTGAATATTCTACAGTATATCTCGGATAGGAAATGCTTACTGAAAATCAAACAGATCGAATGATGTTGCTATTGGAGTTGTTATTTCGTCTTCCGGTGGTCGTTCTTGGTAAGTAGTTGATGTTATAAGTAATGCTTGTGGTTCTTCATGTGATTCATGAATAGCAAGAGCATCTAAATAAATAAATTTCAATTGTAACGAATTTTAAAATACATAAATCAATAAAAACTGACTTTGTTCCGATGCACTACTAGTTGATTGTTGATCAAAATTAAAAGTGTTTTCATCTGGTGGACTAAACGATATTTGCCTTTCAGGAAGCAATGGTTCCCGTTCATCATTAGATATAGCTCGATCACCTGTCAACGATATTTGACGATCAGTTGCTGTTGGACTTATTAAAGGTGATATTGCACCAGATTTCGACGTAAATATTAAATCATCGAAGTCATGATTAAATTCATTGGTATCTGATGACGTTGATGGCATACTTTTTAATGTTTTTTGAGCGATACACATTTTATCGTAAAAAACTAGGAAGAATTTCTCCGATGCTGATTCACATCCATGTAAATGACGAAAAATGCTTGTCTATACATAGAGTTTTTATTATTCAAAATAATTAAAGATAAATATATTTAAAAAAAGACAAGCTAACCTGAACTTCTGTATTACCACCTTCTAATAATGCTATAGCTAAATTAACGCTTTCTTCTAGTATATTGACTGGTGATTCGCTCATAAATAATTCTACAACAAGATCACTAGCTCCTTGTGTATTTAATTCATTTTGTGTTTTTCTTAATCTATCAAGAGCATCTTCTTCTAATAAAAATAAAATACGATAAATAATTATGCAAAATTTTTTTTCTTTTAATAAACCTTTTAATGGTTGATGAAGCGACTTTAAATATTGTTTGTCATCAGAAAAATACCTTCGCAGTAGTTTTAACCGTAAATTTTGTCCCTAAAGAGATTTCGTTTTTTTTTTTATTGTGAATATTTTTCAACGTGAAATAATCAAATAAAGCAAAGCTAGGCTTTAATACCCTGATATCGTGTTCGTAATTGCTTTTGACCATCGATTTGAGTGCATGCATTATGCGCAAACAGAGGCTCTCCTCAGATTGTGTAAGCAAATATTTGGCATGCTGTATCAATCTAAACAACACAAAACTGCCGAAGAAAAAGCAATAGCAATACAGTGAAATACAACGAATTATATAGCATTGCATCTCGAATAAGATAGCAGTCGCAGAAGTGCTTGATCAATCAAACCACTATTTTATTCGAGAATAGATATAATTGCTGTTTTATTTATCAACTCGAAATCAAAATTTAAAAGAAAATCATTTTCTTGTTCTACCTCATGATTAGATTCCCAATGGAGAATCTCTTTATGCTGCATTGTACGAGCATAATCAGTTAGGAGGTTGAGTACATGAAAACTTAGTTGTCTTTCATGGTGCTTTATTAACATCATTGTTGTATGATTTATTAGTCTAAAGAATGTTTTAGAGGGATTCATGAAGATTTAATAAATTCTTATTTTTTATAGTGTAAGAAATTTCATGTGCCAATCAAGCATTTTATATATACTACATACTTGTGTACAAATGTTCCACTGAGAAATTTCGAACGCGATTCACTGGTTTCAGGAAAGAGTGCATGTGGTGCTCGAATAACATCGACAAGTACACTAACTTCAGCTTGAACAAGGGGCTTAACTCGTGCGCTGACTTGAGCAAGAAAATCCTAGAGAAAAAATTTAATTTAATTTATTTGATTTTGGTTTATTCAAAATTCGTTTAATTACCACAAAATTATCAATAACACGTTTATGTTCAACATCTTCTAAATGATCACGTCGTTGTGCTGTACTAAATGTACCGGGGTCAATAGTATGCGTCCGGTCAGATGTTGCACTACGACTTGCGCGTCGGGAACGAGCTGCTATATCAACTGCCGCATTACTACTTGAACGTAACATTTGGCCAAGACCACGTCGATCAGCTAAAAATTCAATAAGATATGGCTAACACTTCATTTAAGTTGTCTTTTTTTACCAATTAATGTTAAAATATGGATACATCTATCGACACGTTCTCGTTCAGCCGTTGTCAACCATGATACACTTAGCAATCGAGCTAGATGGCTGTATAATGATATAACTGTTGTATTGCGATGCTAAATGACAACATATTTGATTCATTTAAATTTGTGTGTTTATACCAAAAACATAATTAAATCATTTTAAAAAAAAAGAAGAAGAAGTGATCAGTCCACACATGCAGCGATAGGAAATGCGCAAAATATGATCTATCGACGAAATGGAAAAAAATTCATCAAAGGAGTTAAGCTCTTGGGTAAACATATCATACAAATTTATTTGTTAATGAATCATCATGATTGTCTTACCTTTTTTTCATCTTTATCTATAAGCTACAAGAGAGCAAAATATCAAAAACCATGCAATGAGAAATAAACATGCATTAGCTGTTATCTGTAAGGTGTTAATTTTAGTCTAATATGAACCCAGTACCTCCCATGTAGCAATGATTATCGATTCTGCGATTTCTAGTGATCGATCATCATCTAGCACAAAATGATCCTAAGAGCAAATCTCACCTTGCAATCGATCTTGAATATTATAAAAGTTTTTTTGTTTTTTTTTTATTGTAAGAAACGAATCGGGTGAAACAAGTTTTACTGTTCGGATGAAAGTTTAAATGATTTTCTATCTTTACCTGGACTGATGAAGATTGTTCAAAATATGGTGAATTGAAAAATTGATTGATTAAATCAGTTACAGTGTCTAAAATATATTTTTCTAAATTGCGACGTTCAGCTGGTTTAGTGATCAACTAAAAAGAAAAACAAATATCGAATTTTCATGGTGTTCGTTTGCTAATAAATTAAAATGGCTTTAGCATATTCTATTTACAATCATTAGAGAAAATGGACTAATTATAAAGAAATTATATCAATATTTGATCTTATCCCACACTAATTTGTTGTGTTTAGCAAAGTCTTTTTGAAGGATAATTATATTAAAAACAGTCGATTTCTTTTCATTTGATTATAAAATATTTTCATGAAAAGGAACACTACTCATTGTCCAGCAGGTGTCGTTCATATAGATTCTAATTAATCAAAATAAGTGTAATACACGAATACGAAACTAGTTTATCATGGCAACGAAAAACCTTTATTTATTTAATCTTTGTTCATGATCTTATCAATCTTTATTTTCAAGACATGTGAAATCATGCTTGCCTAATTCAGTGTTTAATTATACGCTCAAGCGATTTAGATCAACAGAAACATGTTGAATGACTGACTTCTGTTAAAAAATGCTGTGCTAAGTGACATCAACAAATGCCTAATAACGATATGGTTAGATAAAATGCTAGGGATCCATAATATTAGCAATAAATGTCACTGAGTATGTATCAAATCTCACTTAATCGTCCAGGGTTTATATGCCATTCAGGATTTACCCTTTCTCATGACTAATAACTCGGTACAATTTGCAACTATTATTAGGATTTTTCGAAAATGCATAATTTTATTTTGTCAATAAACGCTAGTTTTTCTTTGTGTGAATCGAATGAAGCTTTGAAATTACATTCAGACTTTTAAAATCATTAATTATCAATCATACATATTTCGAAGTAGATTGTTTTTTATCGATCTTTTGTACAACTCATTTATTTTAGTAAAAAGTGATGTTGAACAGCACTCCTTAGACGTAACCTTAATTTACAAATGGGACATTGACCAAGGGCAAAAGAATTATCTTCTATTCTTTGTCCATCTGATGCTCACTTATTAATTGATTATAGTAAATCAGCAAGTTCTTTTCAATAGTCCTGTTTTGTTACCACATCTGGTACCATCAATACTATTACTCTTTCACCCACCATATGTCGTATATATGTTTTAATCTTAATGATTATTGTCTAACGTATGTAAAATATTGAAAATTTCAAAGCTCTACTACTTACTTTTTCAATATCAGGACAAAACGAATTTTCAATTAAAGTATAAATATGTTGACTATTATAAATTTCTTTCATTTCAACTTCTGTATCAATATAACAATGCGTTAAAAAGGTAATATATGCATTTTTAACCTAAAATAAAATTTAGATTAGTGTAAAAAAAGAATCAATTCAATAAAACTACAAACTTCAGGACTACAATCAGGATGTGTAACGATTAAAACAATATCATCTAAGCCAATTAATGAATGGCATTTTATTTCTGTTGATGCATTTTTTCCTTCAGTACACATTGCTAATAGATGAACGAGTTGTACATGATAATTTAATAAAGAATTTTGGTCGGATCGTTCGGTTTCCGATTGCATACGTTCGGTAAGATCTGATAAATTTCCTTTTTCATAAAACATTAGTACTTCATCGGAGCTAACCAACTAAAAGATAAAAATATTTTAAATAAATATTCAACATTAAAAACAGTAACGAGTTCGAATAAAGCTAGAGTTCTGAAGCTCAAGTTGATTACTCTCGCCTAGTTCAGTTACTGATTTTAAACTCTAATGCTAATTCGCTTTTCTATTCAAATGCTTACTTCTGACATAACAACATCTTGACAATTTCTAATATATTGATTTTCAGCTTTAACAACCGTTTGCAAAAATTTGATATATAAAACTTTTCTTCCATGCAATTCAATTAAATGGACAAAATGTTGGACATGTTTTTCAGTTATTGTTCTACATAATTGAACATTATTCATAAAAATATAACAACACGTTTCAACTTCTTGTTCCTAAAGGTGAAAAATTAAAATACAATACTTTTGCTAGCTGACTGTTTACTTCAGATATTTGCTGATAATCATTAAAATAGAGTTCATATAATTTTGCTTGATTTGTTGGATTATTAAAACAAAAATATTGTAAAAGATTATGTGCTAATTTCATAATATGATTCATTCGAGTATCTTCAACCTGTAAAAAATTTCCAAAAAAATAAAAATCTATATTTTATTCTTTATCTTCTTTTTTTTACTTTATCATATGGAATTTTTAATAAATCAAGTACAACTACATGTACATCCATATTTCTTAATAAACGTTGTTCATTTTCTCGAGCATACATATTACCATCAGCACCCTCAACGACACATAATTTCATCATACGACGAAGAATCTAAATATTCAATAAATCATATTTATACATCTATTCAAGTCAAGATTAAACGAATCTTTTCGAATTCAAACAAATTACATTAGTTTCACAAGCCAATCAATCAATAAAAACATGCTTATTGCACTATAAGAAAGAATTAGTTTTTAAATTTTCTTTTGAAATCGAACGAAACATGCCAGAGACAAAAAACGATCGAATTTTAAAATTATTTTTAGATTTTTATTCTTCTTAATCATGCACTAAATCATGTTTTAGTTTTCATTTCGAAACGACAAGAAGCATATTCAGGCTCAGAATGACAAGACAAGTGAAATTGAAAGAAGAAGAACGAATATGCAATACAATTGAATAATAATAATGATAATGTAAAAATGTTTATAGATATGTGTAGATAAATATATACATATATATATATCCCAATTACCGTGTCAATGAATTTATGTATACCCTAGGAAAATAGACAGATACACAGAGATATGAATTAAAAGGTCTTTCTATCTATGTGTATTTAAAGCCCATCAACCACCGAAAGAAATCGAATAAAAAACAAGCAAAAAGAAATGATTTGTCCCATGTTTAGTAATAGTAAAATCTGTTTCAAATGTGTCTTGGTGCTTATTTACTAACCTGGAATATTGATGTATATCGATATGCAGATTCTTCACTAACATTTGGACCATTTAAATCGAATTCAGCATCGCTTAAACCGGATGATGTAGCTAATTTCTTTGATGAACAATATAAATCAAATAATTATTAAAAAATTCATTGATTATTAAAATAACATTTCCACACTCTCTCCTATCAACTACTTTTTTTTCTAGGTGCAATAGCCTGCAGCCTCTCTCCTACAATGAATACCAACTGTAACATGCCTGATGCAGAGTTTTGTTTTTGAGCTGCTCATACAAACTAACGGAACGCAAGAATTGGTTTAAGTCACAACATCTTTAGTATGCCATCATATGAGTAGTTAAGAAACTAATAACCGCTAGTGACTTGTATAGGATCTCTCCATGACTGATCGTACTTAGTTTGACATCTCTTACTTTGTTGACACATGCTGAACAATGTCTCCACTTAGTCATAGAAATTCAACAATACTTAGTAATGTTTATACAATGCAAAATAAATATTAACTCGATTTTGTTCAACAGTGATACCTGAACAAATCATAGCTATATACATATTTATTTATTTATTCATTTATTGAAATTTCTATATTAAATTTGACTCGAGTATATTGTTTATGATCAATTCTAACAAATTAGTATGTGTCTAACTTATTTCTCTATAAAATCTCTGCACACTGTTGTTTTGTTTTTTGATTATTTTCATTTTACTTCAATTTCTAAATGATAGTATAATTTTCATATTACCTTGATTTCAAATTCTTCATCTTTTCTATCGTCTTGATCAAGAGTACCGTCGTTGACACTAGACGCTGATAATAGTCCGTCTTTTCCTTTTTTATAAACCCATAATTCAGATTTTTCAACAAATAATCGTAATTGATCAAGATCGATTTTAATTTGTTTATAATTTTTAATGTCTGTTTCACTAACAAGTAATTGAACTTGATTTAAATGTTGTAATGTTTCTTTCCGCTGATTAAAATGACGAAATAATAAAGATAATGCACGTGATACTAATGGTTGATAGTCATGCATTATTAAATTAAGTAAAACTTTAAGAAACGTTTTTCCTTTCGTATCATCCAAATCCAGGTTCGGTTCAGTTATTGATACTAAATTAGAATCAAATATACATTCAATATCAGCTGTTTGCAAGTCTGCTGCAATTCCATGAGTTGATGGTTCTAAATAATGGAAAGAAAATACATGTCCTTTTGAGAACAAAGAAACTGTCAAATGGTCTACCAAGACGATCATATTTTTTTTTAAATATTGATATGAGACGTGAAATACGAAAATCAAGACGAATATCAAGAATGAATTCAAGAATAGCAATAACATTCATTTTTGTTTCATAAGCTAAATTATCAAGTACATCTGATTGTTGATCAGCGACAGCATCATTAACATTGAACGGAGCTGTTGTTGGAAGAACATGATCATATTTTTGTGATTTTGCATTTGCTACAATAGCTACTACTAAAAATGATATTTTGAAAGAAAAAAAAAAGTAAATTCTAATAATTGAATTTTTCAATATAATATAACCTTGTTCAGGATTCGAATGACGATCAGTTGATGATAAAACTTTACTTGTATCAAGAATACCGAGTAATGTTTGTGTTAATTTAAGTAAATCTTCGAAACTATAAAAACCAAAAAATATTAAACGACGAGCTAAATTGACAACCTTAAGAAAAAAATATATAAAATGAAGATATAATTTCTCTGTAGACAAAAAGAATTTTATTTATTTTACTTCGTGCGTTAATTTATTTTGTTCACGATCAGCAAAAGAGTTTGGTTGTTCAACCACAGTTTTAAGATAATCTTCAACGAACTTCATTGTTGCCTCGAATTTTGGTCGATTTTCATTTTTCTCTGTTGGCTCAAGCGAACCACTAATTGTTTGATCATATCTAAGAGAAAATATGTTTTCAATAAACAAATGAAAATTGATAGTAATCTATAGGCAAAAAAAATTTACTCGTTCAATGAAATAGCAGGTTTAACTTGATTCCATAATCGAGCATATTTAATACGTGTTACTTCTTCTTGTGGATCACGATTGACATGCATATGTATCATTAAACGACAAAATCCTGCACGTAAATCAGCTGGAAGATTTTCACTCTTTGTACATCTGAATTCAAATATAATTACGAAATTATTACAAAAGGAAAAGAATGTTTTTCACTTTCTATAATGAACTTACGTTAATATTAATTCAATTGATAATTCTAATGATAAATTATCTATAGCTAAATACTGTCGATCGAAGCACATGTGCGAAAATAAATTGAGTTGATATCTAAGAAACAAAAACAGAGTGATGACCATGAATGATGTTGAACTATTATATGTTTCGAAACATTTATTTTTCTAACAAACGAAACAACTTTTAGTATATTGATCATGAGAAAAATTCGTACTGGCATCGTCGAATATATGAATACATTCATATTGGTATTGATTGATTTATCTGGTATACTGAAAGATCTTTGTTTTCACTTTAAAAAATTTTGACTCAGTGCAAGCTGTATTAGCTAAATCATTAGAATATGCCAAGATAAAAGAGAAAGAAATCTATTTGCTAGATTTTATGTCTGAATAAAACAGTCAAAGCAGGTACCGGGCTATTCGATGGGAATTAAATGTTAGTTGTTTTCTTTAGAAGATTGCTATCAATACTTCTGATCTCTAGATGTAATTGATAAAGAATATATTCATGTTGCATTGAATTGAGTTTCGGTTATGTCACTGTCAATATTTCAGTATTTTTCTTCATGATGAAAATTACTCATTATCAATTCAAAAAACGTACTTCATACTGATTAAGTATTCAGTATGCTTCTTTTGCTTTATCTTAATATTCTTTTATGTTATTCAATATAGATTATGTTGTTTCTTCAATCGTTTTTCTTTTTCCTTTTTTATCAGAAGAAAAAATGACCAATTCTTCGTTTCTGTATTCAATCATCAATAGAATGTAACTGTTGTTATTAGATTTTTTTTTATTTTCTTGATGTATTTACCTATAATATTCCAAAATATTGCGAAATTCTTCTCGCCTGGGATGTGCTGGTTGATCTCGCACTACGCCAGCCATAAATTCAATTGATTCCGATTTCCCATCCCACGTCAATATGACTTCACGTAAAATATTTTGATTGGAAAAGCCTATCGGTGGACCGGTATTATCATCTAATATCATATCTTCAACACATCCTTTCACTTCAAGCCTAATTAATAAGAAAGAAAGAAAAGTAATCTTTTCAAGTGAGCCAATTTAAGCAAAACAAACTTTGTTCGTATTAAAATATCAGAATTTTTTTCTAATACAGATTTACATATCATTTCTTGTGTTCGTGCTATAGCTTGATTACTTGATACACATAAATCCGATAAATATTCAAGAAACCTTTAGAAAAACAAAAAACCATGAAAATTTCTTATTGCAAAATGGAAAAGAAACGCAGAAAACATTACTTGCAATCTCGTTTTTCTCTTAACAATTTGACGAAAGTATCAATTTCTTTTTCAGTAATATGTTTTTCTAATAGTTTTTTATTATTATGAAGTAGAGCTGTGATTGTATCTTCAGCCAGAATATCAAAGCCGATTTGAGATTGCATAAAAGAAAATTCTTTTGCAATTGTCTCCTATATAAGTCAAATATTTTATTTAAAAATTTAATAACACAAACAAAAATCATTCATATTCTACCTGATTTTTTCTATATTCCTGTTGACAATGTTTAAGTGTACGATAGCAATGACGACATATACTTTTAATTTGATAAAATACTGTTGAATATCGTACATCAGCCTCTTGCTGTTGTGATATTGGATATGAATCATTACTTGATGATGTTTGAACTTGATATTGATGAAAGTGAGAATCTGAACGTGCATGTGCAAGATTTGCTGCATTTACATTTGAACGTTCTTGTTCTAGACGAGGTTTTAATACTCGAAGAATACGAAACAACTAGTTTAACGGAAAATGTACTTTTCTCGATGAAATGTTTTTAAATTTTAATTAAATTTTTACTTGTTTTAGAATGTTCTGTTCACGTATTAATTTTTGTCGTTCGCGATTTGGTTTTAAGATTTGTACATCAAATGGATCAGTACCATTGTTTTCTTGGCAGGCAAGGAAGTATACGATATCAGTTAACAGTGATATTACTTGCCTAAAATAATCAATTTCAAATCAGAAAGTCAACTAAAACAAAATTGGCATCTTGTTTTTTTCATTGACATTGGACTTGTTTTTTGTTTTTGTCGGATAACTTATGTTTATATAAAGCTCGAAGTTACCGATCTAACCCTTATGTTGAAGATATCAAATCTTGACGCATAACCTTATCATACGAATGCACTCTGACTAAGTTCTTTGATTCCCTCAACAAATGTTTGAAACGACTGTCAATTCTGTGTTGGAAGACTGTCATTGACTGACAGAAAAATTTGCTTGAACCGCAAATCATATGATGCCTAGTTTTTCGTTTATATTATTGCTAAAGCTAACTCTCAACTAGGAAAATATATTTGTCCGTTATGACGAAAACCCCTTATACTTGATAGAGTTTTGTAGCTTACTGTTCTGACAATATTCATATATTGTTATTTACTATGGTGATTCAACTTTTTTTCTTCCAACTAAGTGAAATAGTATTGATATAATGAAAAAATTATCCGCATTCAAGATTTTTCTTTCCGAAAAAAATATTTTTCACGGTTTTGTCGCTATTTTTATTTTCTTATTGTATGCGACGCTCATGTTATCATTTCGTTATATTAAACGAAGTGAAAAAGTTTGATTAGAATCATCCATAATGCTAATCTATACACTTGAGAGATTTCAAAAACTCTAATCGGTCTGTTTTACCATACAAACAATCTGCACTAGATAAGAAGATAAGGATGCTTTAACCAAGTCTGATACCGATTATAAAACCTACTGGTGCTTTATAGTCGCGTGAGATCTAAAATTTTTAGTATTGATACTATTCAATATGTAGTATTGTCATAATTAAAAATTGAATTCAATAAGTCGACTCTTCAAATTTAATATTCCATAAATATATAAATCAATTTAGTCTGATATATAATTTGCTGGACAATCTTTCATAACATTTCTAATTTCTTTTATCTTACATAATTGTCTATTTGGTAGCTTCGAATCATTCCGACTAATCCTTTATAATTGGTGTACGGCTACTTGAATATGTAATAGTTTTAAGACAACCTAAAATAAAGTTTTTATTTTACTTACTTTCGATCATTTGCATTTACATTCGCAAGTCCATGTTTTTCCCATTTCGATACAGTTATATCCAGATGTTGTGCAGCATCATTAGCAAAATCTAAATCTCGTACTTCATCTGGTGTAACATGTACTATTTGAAATGCTTCTCGATCTTCTTTAGTTAATGCACAACCAATTTTAAATCGTACATTATCATCATCGGGATCTAATTTAATATTCGTCGAATGTACCCATGTACTCGTGCATATGTGTTGTAAACGTACATATGAGCCCCATGGTACAGCTTCTTCATTACGTGTTATTGTTGTTGGATCGAGTTCAAATATCGATGATATATCGTAACCATGCGGAATAGGAACAAGAGCAAAAACAGGTGTACCTGGTGGACCACGTAACTTTTGTCGTGTTGCATCAAATGTTTGATCATTATCGACTTCAGCTGCTAAATATTGTCCTGTCGCCAAATGTTTAAAACGAAATAATGAACTCCATTGACCGATACCACCACGACACGGATCTTGTTGAACGACTTCGATTTCCCATAAGGCATTCGATGATGTTGCCGACGTTGCTGATGCGCGACCAGTGGCGCGTAAAAACACGACACTTTTTTTCCGGTAATTATCACATGTGAGAAATTTTTCTTGTTCAGCATGAAATAAACGAACAATATCACCCTTAATCAGTGAAAAAAGAAACAACATAGAATTATATTTATTTTTCTAATTTTAGAATTAAAATTTTCTTTTGAAAATCAATCTTACACTTTTGAGTACTTCATTTGTAGCTTCGCGACATGACATAAATAAAACGATTTTCCAACTTGTTTGAAGATGAGAATTTACCTATTTTAAAATATTTTTCAATTAGAACAATTTTTAACTCGTCCCTAATATACATATTCATATTCAAAGCGGCGGGGTATTGTACTACATGCAGAATCATTAAAATAAGAATTTTATATTTTATAAGTTGACTGTCTTAGTTTTTAAAACTGATCATCTTACTTTACTTTTCGAAGTAGATCTTCATGAATATATTATAAACTAAACTGTTTTCATATTCATGCAAGCGAAACCCAAAACATGGCATGCTATTATTAGTCACATAGACTGCACTCTCATTGCTATAGTCAGTCCATGTTTAATTATACGTTTCTTTAATAAAAATATAAATAAAGCCATAAGTACTCCCGTTACTCGCCAAATGACTTTTAAAAAGAAGCTTCTCAATAAGTTACACTACTACACAGATAGCTATAGATGAAGATCTACTTCTACTGAAATATTGTTTAGAACGAAAGAAAAAAGCAACTTTTTATTATTTAATCGGCAAAGTAAAAGAAAAAAAAGAAAGTTTTCTCTCTGGTCAACATGATACGTGTGTCTACAAATACACATCAAACATACGGAAGGATACGAATGGCAATTGACCTAAATAATAGAGAAAAAAAACAATCACATAACACATGCCAAAATAGAAATAATAATTTCATTCCACTTCAAGCTAAACAAATCATTTCGTTTCTTTTTGCTGTCTCAATACCGTGTGAAGATTAATAACACTGCAGCACTAGAAGAGAATAATTTTTACTTTTCGTTTTTTGTTGACATTTTAATTCTCTCTAGCCTTTGAAATTTTCAAAAAGGAAAATATGATATCATGCTCGATGTGGTTCAAAAAGAAAAATAATTTGTTTTTCTTTTCTGTATTTATGTGCACATACTTCTTTGGAGCCAGGATGATCCGGTAGTTCTAGTTCGCTGACATGCAACGGTTGCCCACCACTGTACGGCATCAACACGACTTTATCACCTACTACAACCTATAAATCATACTCGTTGCTTGACAACAAATATTAATCATATCAAAGAACAAATATACTAACACGTTCGCCTTTAGCTCGTAGTTTATAATAAGGTTCGATTTGAAACCATGAACCTTCAGTACCACTATTATCGAGAGATACGCGCATGGCATTTTTTTCCAAAAATGCTGGTAAACGTTTGTTCACGGTTAAATATTTATTACTCTTTATATGAAGTAATTGTACGACAGTATCGCCATATTTTATGATAGTACCAGTCTGTTTTCGACTTTCTTCTTCATTTTGACGTTTTTCTGTATCAGCAGCAAGTTGTAATTTTTTTAAATCTCGTACACTATTTGGACTTTTTAATGCATTCCAATATTGAGTTTGAGCACTATATCGATGACTCGGACAAATACGGAATAGACAATCTAAAGAAAATGATAATTTCCGAAGCAAGGTCAATAGGGTCGTTTGAATTGTTTCTTTATTTTAACCTCGAAACTTCTTTGGCGGTTTTTGTAAATCACCGGCGTCAGGTTGTACAACACATCGATCATCGACAAGCCTATTGATGTCATATGTAAATATTCGAATAAAAAAACAATAGCTTATCATACCCAAGTGTGCTAATAAATCCACAAACAGTGCCTTCAGCATATAATGCTACTGTATCACTAATTTTCAGGAAACTCGACGTCAAATTTGACTCCATAGTATCATCAACTGACGTCTAGTTACTTACCTACAACAAATAAAGACAATAAAAGAAAAGAAAAACGAACGATTTGTCTTTCCTAATAGATGATAGACCCTAGTGAATAACGACTATGTAGTGTGCATGCAACAATTATAATAGAACAAAAGGAAAAAAGAAAGAATCGATATTTTTCCTTTTTTCTTGGCCTTTCTCCCCTCTCTTGTTGTTCTTCTTCTCCTCCTACTCGTTGTTCGTTCGTTCTTCTTCTCTCCTTCTACTACTACTACTTCTTCTTTTTCTTCTTCTCTTTATGATTGATAAGAGCTTGATAGAGCACAAGGTATTCGTTTATTCCCGTCGCTTGACTATTGATCGAGACGAAAAAAGCTAAATGTCTATATTAACAAATAAATATCCCGCTAAAGAATATTTTCTGTATGACGAGATTATTTTTTAAAGCAAAAAAACATAGAAAGTTATAACCAATTTAGAAGATACCCAATGCCAAGTATGATTCAAAATCTTCTAAATCAATAATAACTGTAATTTTGTTTCACAATAAATTAGTTCTTATTAAAATATTTTCCACGCTGAGTGTTTCTTCTATTATTATGTAAATTACTAATCAACTAGATACGACCATCAAAAGTGAATTCTCCAGCGATTGTCCTCGCGTTTTCATCACTTTATCAACAATAAATAATGCTAACAATAATGATGGCAATGAAAATAAACCTTCAGATTTTCTACGACTCTTACCACATGAAACAAAAATGAATCGGTAATATGCTCTCGATTAACTCTCCTCAAATACGCAAAGCGGTTGATAGATCCAAACATAAAATATTGTTCGGCAGCGAAAAAAGAAAACGTGTGTGATAGTTATGCTTTCTTTTTTTTTTATTATAGTGGTAATGTTGACTATAACTAATATTTGGTATTTTTTTTTCGTCGCACCATAAGAACAAGAACGAGAAGAGAAAAAAAACTTACGACGTTCTAAACAAAAATATAGAAGAAACAAAAATGATACATGGGTAGTTTTCTCACGTTTATGCTGAGAAATAACAATGTATATCATCTATCTTCAGTTAGTCTTAACTTAAGATGCGTTCTATCGTCTAGCCGACGATGTATATGTAATTATCGTCTCCAGAATGTGCCGATGGTGATACTGAAACAACATAGTAACAGACATTTGTGCATCTCCTCTTTTGCTATAAATTACGAGAAAAAGAAAAGGGAAAAAACATAAGCTGATCTTAGAGTAACGAAGAAGAAAAAGCAGAAAGAGCAAAAGAAGACGAGAAATATAGAACATTATTTCATGCATCCATTGAACAAAGTCAGGAGTCGATCATTGCAGTTAATCTATGTCAATTTTCTTTCTTTGTATGTTCCGCAAGCGGATGTATTCTATTATTATTATTAGTAGTAGTAGTATTTTTATTATAATGGTAAAACACGATAGCACTCTTTTTTTCCACTTGTCATCTCTATATTCTAAAAAAATATCAATTTATCACGAGAAAAACTTCGATATAATATAATATATTCATATATACATAATCGACTAATTGACGATAGTAAGACTTGCTAAGTCTGGAATATGTATTGTATATACTCACATACGCTTTGATTTTATCGATCGACGAAAAAATAGACAGTAGAACCGATATATATATATATACGATACATATACATAGTTTGGATCTCTCCTAACATGTGGTTTGTGTCTCTCATATTCTCAGTCACTATGATTCTATAGAATAACGATTATAAATAGGATCTAATTATTTGAAAAATACAAAAAACAAATAAAATGAAGCATTAATGATGAAGGACGATCTTGATATGCCTTTTATTAAAAAGAAAAATTACGAAATATCTATGTTTTTTTCAGATATCCTGTCGGTAATCGAAACACCACTTTTGTTTTGCGTTATGAAGCTCAACAAGGTCAACTGATCGAGAAATATAAGTATGGAGTAGGACAAGAAGAATTTGATCGTTTTTCTCTCTTGCTCTCTATTATTAATATTGACATATCGATATGTTCAGACAAAAATAATCAATAAATTACCAGATTATTGCTTAGAAGAAGTACAATAACATTTGCATACGTACTATCAAATACGAAAAAAAAATCTCTTTTTTTGCAATACTATAACGAGATAAACTATTTTAACGGATGAAATATTTTTTGGTTTTAACTCGAAAGAGATTTGATCTACTGATTTCGGTAAAGATAACAGTATTTTTCTTTGCTACGGGACTGTAACTTTAGAGAATATTTTATTCTTGTCACATATGGCTGGTTTTGTTTCATTTATTTACACGAAGAAATCAAGCATTTTAGTATTTTACATAGCATCTTCTCAAGCGTAAATCAACTTGTTTTTGATGATGCATACTATGTTATATCATGCATGAATGATATATTTTTCTTTTTTGTAATAATAGAATATCCTTTGATTTCAGAAATCATACGAATATATATTTGTTTTGTGCTTGCTCGCTCGTTCTTATTCGTACTATTGAAAAGAAAGGACTTTTTGTTACTCATGCATATATATATATATATTGATTAACGTGCTGACATTCCCATTTTTATGAAATGTCAATGTCGTTATATAAATTGCTGGTGCTCATCTTCCAAGTGCATAGATGGATAAACATAAAAAAATGTCATCACCAGGTGGTAAAGAGAGTTATTACAGTAAATATGTCTTTTTTTCATGTGTTGAGATAAGATTAAGAATTAATAAGATTTCATTGTTGTTGTTTCCAGTTGATGTGCAATTGCGAAAGCAACATATTTAATAGCAAACAAAGAAAGGTATTAATCATTAAACTAAAGAAATTCTCGATAATGAGTTGATTATAAAGACAAATATATGATGAATTTAGTTGCTTTCGACAGATAAATACAATGTATGTATAAATGAATATCAACATGATAAATGATATCTTAAAAAACTATTCCCTATGTGTATATTAGAGTTAATGTTTACTTCGCGGTACTTCTGATATTTACTACGAACAACATACTTGAATAATGCCGAAAGGAAAAATGAGTCATAAAAGGCAGTTAATATTTAATATTTGAAATGGCATAGTTAAATATATTATTAGCATAATAGCACTTTTAGATTTGAAAACGATGTTTTAATTATAATAAAGAAGCAATGTGATGCTGAAGTTTAAAAACACAGGAAATGACTTCAGGTTCGTAAGAGATAAGAAAACAAGAAAAAAATTCTTTTGCTTAAGAAAAACAGGAAAAACGAGCTTGATGTTGTATTATCTATATAATACCGTCAGATTAATACCCATTATTATGTCTTAATAATATATGTAATTAGACAATAATGGTATGCATTTTCATATAGTTGAATACAGTATACCTACATTATAAATGCATGTTATATGGGAACTAAAGAGAAGAAAAATGCTATTTCTATAATAATATTGTTGATTGGCCTCAAATTGAAAGTTACCTTTGGCATTTTCTTCGAGAAAATTTATTTCCGTAATACTCAATTAATCATTTGAGAAAAGTGTATTGAACAATTATATGCAATCATATCAATAACAAAAAGAAAAAGTCTAGATTCTATAAATGAGATCGATAAGAAATATACAATCAACTGCAAATATATGTTCCACAGATGTATGTTTTCTTTTTGATATCAGAATAGATATTACATGTTGAGGGTATTCGAGAAGTGCTCTAATGGAAATAGTTGAGTTTTCGTAATTGTGCAAAAAGCGCGACCGATCTGTTCTCTTTCTTAGACGACACTTACAATATTATGAGTGTTCTCAGCGGGTCATCAATCCAAAACATGCAGGCTTAATTTACAACACAAAGATATATTTATATAGCTGGATAAATACATTGTCGAGTTTCCATAATATCTTTTTCTAATATTATTAGACAATATTTGTTTAGGTTTTGCTTCGTCGATATTACAAATCTAATGTAGTGAATAAATATCGTGCATGTGAAAATTTTCTTTTGATTCAAAATGAAGAATTATATTTTTATTAGCTTATCTACTATCAATGTAAATATATTTTATAGTTTATGAGCAATGTATTAAGCTATTGCTTTATCGAGCATTTATTTTTCTTTTTTTTTAAAGCGAAATAATTACGCATAGCATTTTGTGCTGACCCGGCTTTGAATCATTCGATTTGTGGCTCGTTAAATGCTATGATTAAGTTTAATTGTTTCAATTTTACCACCAGAAAGTTCACTACGAAAATCCAATAAGCTATAAATAGAAATAATAAAATTTAGATTAAATTTAAAAGAAAATTTTCTTGAATTTATCAAAATCGTCTAACAATATTTTATCAACTGCATTGTCAAACGCTAAAGCAGGTACAAATCTGGCTTATTTAAATTTATTTCTAGAATATAAAATCAACTATGAAAACGATTATTACTTGATCACCAAGATGTCTTAGTTCGAGTGTAGCATACTCTCGAGGATTACCTTGAACATAATTTTCATCATAAGTGGCAGTTCATATAATATTTTTACTCTAGATTGCAAATATAAAATAATTTTTAAAGTAAAAACAAAATATATTTAGTTTATAATAATGAACAGTGTCTGGTACTTAATCTCATTCGTTTAGTAATCGATGCTTTTTTTTAATCTTATTTTCTTTATTATTTTGTTCGTTGATTGTTGTTTAAAATAAATAAACTAAATTTTATTTATCTTCAGAGAATAATGCTTGAATAGAAATATTGGAGAGCAAAGAAATCTAAGGTTTCATCGGGGCTGATCCTAGTAAAATCAAATAGGAAGATAAATACGATATGTCGTCATCTACTAAATGTAGCTGCTATTTGAAGCACCTTCCATAGCTTTAGTTGACTATAAATTACTCGTATTTATGAGTCAGAATCAATAGGGTTTTACAGAAGTAAAAACTTTTTCTATGAGTTCTGAACTCTTACATTCTTCGACATAAACATTTCCATTCAATCTCTTGCG